AGGTTGTAAAAATAGATGTGCACCCTACAGTTGTTGGGGAGATCCTGCTTCCTCATGTACATGTGAATTGAAGGGYGGAAATGGATTATTATCTTACTAAGAACAATAATAACTGCACAGGCCCAGACTCCAGACTCCACCTGCTCACAGGATTCCAGCCCCTTGTGCAGGGCTCCCTTTTTATTTGCTTGTTTGTTTCTGGTACCTGGGATTGAACCCAGGGGTACTTCACCACAGAGCCACATCTCCAGCCCTTTTTATTTTTCACCTAGAGACAGGGTCTTGCTAAGTTGTTTAGGGCCTCCCTAAGTTGCTGAGGCTGGTTTTGAACTTGCAATCCTCCTGCCTCATCCTCCTGAGCCTCTGGGATTTCAGGATTGCACCACCATTCACAAAACTCCTTGGATATTTCTTAACATCCCCAGAAGATCTTTACCACAGATTCACCAACAAGTCCCTCGGTGCCAGGTGCCATTGCTACCCCAGGCACCAGATTTCCCACTACCTGGTGTGCTTAATAGGTGTTCATCTGCCAGGGAGTCTTCTGGGTTACAGTCTGTTGAAAGGTCCCTGTAGAGAATGACATGTGTCATGGAGTGGCTTTGGTCACTAACTCCTAGAAGCACTTCTAGATTTGTCTGCAACTTCTTTTCTCTCACCAGGTTCCAACACTGTTTTTGGAGACAGGAGGTGACAGACACCATGCTGCTGCCCACTCCATCCCTGTTTCTGTCCCTTGGTGGTTATGCAAATCTATCCAGATAAGCCTGCGTCTCAAGCTCTTAGGTTGTAGCTGGGAGGATAGATCTTAAAAAAAAAAATAAAAATAAAAAACAAAAACCACAAAATTGGGCCAACCACATCAACGGTGGCTATCTCTTAGAGTTGTGAGAATCAGCTGAGTGTGTGCTTCCAGAAGAAATTCTTGAGTTCTAGATGCAGCACAAGTGGGAGACTTGATATGAGTTAGTTTGGACTTCAGCAAGGGATTGTCAGATTCCGGGGAAGTCTCTTCCTTTCTGCCTCAGCCAGTGTTAACCTTGGTCATGTATAAAAACCACTCAAGTGGCTTTGACACCCAAAGCACAGACAATGAAAGAAGAAAATCATTGATAAACCTCACCAAAATTTAAAGCTTTTGCACATTAAAAAAAAGGACACTCTCAAGAAAGCACAAAGACATCTCACAGGATGAGAAAAATATTTCCAAATAATATATCTGATAAGGGATAATATGCAGAATATTTAAAGAACTTCTACAATTCCACAACAAAAGAAAACAATCCAATTTTTTTATATGTGCAAAAGTTAGAGTAAATGTTTTTCTAAAGAAGACACAAAATTAACCAATAAGCAATCACATGAAAGATGCTCAACATCATTAATCATCGAGTAAAGGCAAGTCAAAACTGTAATGGGATAACATTTCACAGCCGTTACAGTGGCTACAAGTTTTCAAAAATGGAAAATAAATGTCAGTGGGGATGTGGCTTGCTGGTGGGAATGTTAAATGGTGCAAGTGATGTGGAAAATCATTTGGCGGCTATCCATTCTGTTAACCAGCAGCATCAGCAGCAGATCTAGGAATTTCACCTCTAGGTATACCCCCAAATTTGAAAGCAGGAACTCAGATAACATCTCTATCAAGAGCAGCATTATTCACAATAGCTGGAAGGTGGAATCAACCCAAGTGTGCATCGACAGGGGAAGGGATACCCAGCATGTGGTATAGCCACACACTGAAACAGTATTCAGCAATGAAAAGAAACCGAGGACTGACACACGCTACAGTGTGAATGAATCTTGGAAGCCAATCACAGACCCTTTACATGGTTCCAGTTATATGATTTATCTAGACTAGGCAAATCCAGACACAGGAAGAAGAAAGTTCTCCGGAGGGAGGGGGAATGGGAAGATGTTTTTTCATGGGGACAGAGTTTCAGATTGTAAAGGTGAAAAGATTCTGGAGATGGATACTGGGGATGGTTGCCCAACAATGTGAATGTACTGAATATTCTGAGCCTCATGCTTAAAAATGGTTAAAATGACAAATTTTATATTATTTATATTTTACCATAATAAAAAATCACATAGAAATTATTATATATATATATTATATAATTATATATATAATAATTCTAGATTTGAATTGCAGATGAAGGAGGTCCCAGGGGCTGTACTTCCACGTGTGTGTCACACACACACACACACACACACACACACACACGCATGCACGCGCGTGCATATATATATATCTCGCCAAGGTCAATTTGAACCAATTCAGTACAAATCTCCAGAGCCAGACCTGGCCATTGGTCTCTTAAAAGTTTCCCAAAGAGGATTGTCCTGCCAGGACTGGGAGCACTAGACTGGACCTTCCAGTCAACAAGCATACTGAATGACTTTGGGGTGATCTAGAAAGGGGACTTTCCCTTTTGACCTCTAACCTCCACTTCTGACCCCTCCCCCTCTGCCAACCCCTTTGAGCRCTTCAAATAATGTGCTCTCTGATCGCTCACTAAATGCCACAGCCTTTCCCCCCCCACTTCTGTTCAGAAACAGGGCACCAGGTTCTCCGGGCATTGGGAGAGACTTTCAGCTCAGTGGGAAACGAATGCAGAAGAGTGGACAGAAACGCAAATCATTTAAATAAACTTGCTTTAATCATTAGCAGAGCAAGAGCAAGCAGTGCGGGTAGACCACGGCATGGTGCAGGGAGGAGCGGAGGACATATTTACAAAGGCTTTGGAAGAAAAATGTTTCTCCTATTGGTGGCAGGATCCTAGATAATTTACTCCTGGAAGCATCCAATGCTCCCTGAGGACGTTCCATCCTGCCTCTCTTGACCGATGTGTGAAGAGCACCTGCTCTGAATGTGCTCCAGGCCGGGGACTTGATGGGCTTAGACGGCCCCGAGTTTACCAAAAGCTGATTGGCTAAGGAGCCCAGGCAGGGACATTTGCAGAGAAGGGAAAATTATGTTTTAATAATTGAACTATGGATAATCTAGACACTGGAAAATAAACCTTTGCTTCATTATGCACTTTCCTAATACCTCCATTTCTGTTCCCATCCTGGAAACCAGGAATGAGGGCAGTATAAAATTTAAGGGGGCAGCCAAAGTCTCCACAGTCAAGATAAGTAATACTTCAATGCAATCATTTAAAAATCAAAATTAGTGTTAGAAAGTCCCAGATCAACAAAATATCAACATTTCAGATAAAGTCAAGGTCAGAGCCTACATTCGCAGGAGTTGGATTCCCTTGCCATTTCAGCCCTTGTGCCAATAAAACTTTATTTTAAAAAATGTCCCATGGACTTTAATTTTGTATATTTAATTTTCAAATGAAATACTTCATTGAATGTTTAGATTAAATCATACTGCATTCACGTATGATTTTTTTCGACTACTGAGTTTTTTAGATCTGAGTAGTTACAATTGCCCTCACCTCAGCCCTGCTGCAAAGGACCCTTGAAAACAGAGTTGCCGGATAAAAGACAGGATAGACAGTCAGATTCAAATTTCAGATAAGGGAGGTCCCAGGGGCTATACTTCCACTTGAAGATTATTTGATTGTCTGAAATTCAAATGCAGTAGTGTATCATGTATTTTTATTTGTTAAATCCGGCAGCCCCACTTGAGAAGTCTCACCAGGCACCCCCCATGATGGTGTTCGGTTCCACAGCAACGTGCCCCACCCCCACACACGTACTTTGTACACACCATGTGAGCGACACTCCTGGACATCAGCACAATGTGTCCAGAGACTTTTCCTCCCTTGGTCTTCATTCACCATCTGGCGTCGTAGTTTCAGACACTGAGCCTGACCTCAACTTCCTGTCTCTCCTGGCCCCCAGAGATTAGGTTCCCATCAGCAGGACAGGTTCCACAGTGACAGCCAACGCAGAGCCCTGGGCCTCTCAGCTCTCTGTGTCACTCACCACATATCCAAGATTCAACTAGTCCTTTTGCTTTACCTGGGTCCCCTCTGACTTTCAGCATCCATCTGGGGAGGAGAATCCTTATCAGTAGGGACTGGGGTCAGGGAGAATAGCAATAAGCCCCCCAGAGCAGGAGGCCTGGCCACTAAGGCATCCACTGGTAAAGCAAATATGGAAAGGCATTTCCAGCCCCAATGTAGACCACGTCAGAAAACCAGGTGGAGCCAGAAAGGACGGAAGAAAACCAGGGGAGATATTCAGAAGGTCCCTGGGACCTGGGATCAATTGTCTGAGGAGAGCTGGGATTGTAACAGCTCCAGGGGAACTTGTGCTGACCACAGAGGGAGAAGTGAGAGAGAAATTGGGAGATAAGATTCTACAGACGAGAAAGAGGAAAGAATCAAGGAGGAAGTGAAGTCTGGGGGCCAACATGGGCTCATACCAAGGAGGGCAGGTGCATCCCAGCTGAACTGTGGATGCAGAACGCCTCACTTCACCCTGCTGGGGGCCATGCCTGGGGTCTTCTGGCGCTCTCTCCCCCTGCCCAGTATTTTCCAAGAGTGATCTTGCATCTGAATTAGCTGGGATGCTTGCTAGTTCCATTCCTGACTATCCTCACTCTTTTAGAATCTCAGTGATGAGTCTAGGATTCAGCATTTAAAAAGCTTCCTGGCGGAAGCAACCCAATCTCAGATAAAAACCAAGTACTATGAGGAGAAAAGGAAGAGATACTGACTAGACTCTTTTTTTTAACAAGAGAATTCTCTTCTCTTCATCCTGGGGTTCTTCTCTTCACTTGAATTCTGGGCCAAGCCCCGGGGACTGGTGGTCATTCTGGGAAATACACCGGTAAGGATAACTAGGGTGACAAGGACAGGCAGAAGCTGTGAGCATTACACAGCTCCCTGTATGCAAAGTTTGAAGAACCTGAAGACTGACTTCATGTCTGAGTGGGCATAGTGCACAGGGAAAGAATGATCTGCTCCAAGCAACGTCCATCCTGCATCATCCCCAGCTTTCTTGGGAGTCCCCAGATTGCAGATCTGGAGTCCACCAGGCTAGATCTCACTCTCTTCCAGAATCTCCTCCATGGTGTTGGCCAGGGTGAAGTCCCCCTCACTGCTCTCCGACAGGCTGCTGCCTCGGGGCCAGGCTGTGTGGCCCCGGTGAGGATGGGCACCCAGCTCCCCCCGGCCCCGTGTGGCCAGGTGTGAGCCGCCAGGAGAGGTCTTCAGCTTCCGAAGGGTCTCGCCACCATCTCCATCTGAGAGATTCTTGGGACATTTCCCCAGGAACCGGAAGTTCTTCCCCAGGACCCAGGCTCCACAGCCTGAGTGGTTGTCGAGCAAGAAGCGGGCCCAGAACTTCCGCAGTTCAGCCTTCACCTGTCAGGTGAGACAAAGGTAAGGTCATAGTCTTGGGATCATTTACTCATGTGTCCGTTCAGCAAAAAAAAAAAAAAAAAAAAAAAAATATTGAATAGCTGCTCCATGCTACCCTTGGGAAATTTACCTTCTACCTGGTGAAGAAACAAGACTCATAAGCATAGCAGATGGCAAATTCTATGAGACTATTAAATAGGACAATGTGGTAAGGAGCATTAAATGAAGACAACAGGAGACCACGGTTTTGCACCAAGCTCCTGCCCTGGACCCCAACAGACTAGACTAAAAATCAAGACGGAGTCACCCCTGCTGAAGTTCCACCTCACCAAACCAAGACTTATGGGCCCTTCAGGGGAGAGAGATGACAGTCCAGCTTTCCAAACAGACCAGGTTCAATGGGTCTGTTTGACAAAGTTCTCTCTGCCTTAACCCTGGCACAAAAAGTCACCCTGAGGAAATCTGATGTTGACCAGCTGTTGTTCTACCGGCCTGTCTACTCCTTATAAGGAAAGCGACTTATGACGACTGCTTTCTTCTGCCCTCCCCCATAAAACAGATGCCCTCTGCTCAGACCACTGACGCACTTATTCTATCTTATTGAATGAAATATTGCCCCCTTTTAGAATTGCAAATTAAGCCAAGTGAGGTCTTTAAACTAAATTGTTGCATTTTTTTTTTTTTTTTTTGTCATTTGACAGGAGGTTAAGAGCTTGAGCTGTGGTGTTCAGAGGGGACTCTGTGTGGTGGCATTTGAGCTGAAACCTGCCTGATGAACAAGGAGCCCTGGCATGAAGCTATGGAAGCAGCAGCCCTGAGTGACACAGAGGAGGGCCTCTGCTCTGGAGAGCTTACACTCTAGTTGGAGGAGACGAAAATGCACATTTAAACCTGCAGTGGAGGGAGGGGAGAATTACGAGGCAGCTTGAAATTTTACCAACTCCCAAAACAAATGAAAACCCCTGTTCTGCCTCTTCGCCCTTCAAGCCTTCCTCCAGGTGCTACAGATTGATCTTGAATGTTCCCCAAAGGCTTATGTGTGGAAGGTTTGGTCACCAGCTTGCGGTGCTGTTGTGACATGGTGACAACGTCAAAAGGTAGGGCCCGGTGGGAGGAAGTTGGTTCACTGGGGGAAGACCCCTGGAGGGGACCCTAACCTTCCTTTCCCTTGCTCTCTCTCTGCCTCCTGAGCACCATGAAATCAGCAGCTCCTTCCACCATGTACTCCCAGCATGATGTGCTGCCTTGTCACAGGCCCAAAGATAAAGGGGCTYGGCAACTATGGACTGAAACCTCTGCAACCATGAGCCAAAGTAAACCTTTCCTTATTGTTAAGTTGATTGTCTCAGGTATTAGTTATAGTAACAGTAAGCTGCCCAGCACCAGGGAAACAGAAAAACTGGTTGGGGTCATGCAATCATATGAATAAAAATTATAATTCTCACATATTGAGCCTTTACTATCTGCTCAGCATGCCTGGGACATCACTATAAGGTAAGGACAGTTGTTATTTCCGTTTTACAGATGAGGAAACTGAGGCTAAGATGCAGTGACCTAACTCATAGAGCTCTTAAGTGGGTGAACCAAGGCTTGGATCCAGATTTTTGGATTCATGCTTATTTTCTTCAACATACTTTCACCCTAGCACAACTCCAGTAGGGCCAAGACTGGGTTCTGAGCTTTCACACACCCATCATGACACCTTTTCCCATTTGTCTAAAGTGTCTTCTGTTCTCTCTCCTGGATGCTCACAGTACATGCTAGTCGCCGTTACCCCATCACATACATAGAAACCTCAGAGGACAGTAGGATTCCAGCCCCAGCCTCACCAGATGTTGGGATGGCAACATGGAAAACATACCTCTCCATTGACAAAGCCGTACTGCAAGGCCACGAGGAACCCCTGGAACAAAAGGAAGATGTGTTGTGAACTTTGGGTAGATATGTCTGAAAGTTACCAGCAAAGTCCAAGATAACCCCTGGAGAGGCATGCAACTACACCAAATGGTGATGCTAACTTGGATTCTAAGGCATCTCCTCTAACTTTGGCATCTAACCACCCATACCAGCCTAGCTTTGGTGGTCATGGGTATTCATAKGTCAAAGATGATTAAATCCCCATAAGGCATTCAATTATATGAATACTAGGCAGGCCACAATCCCATTTCTACCAGACCATGGTGGTCACTGGCTAATTTATTTTGCCTGACTTACATTCTTTCCTTTTAGAATCTGACACTCTCTTATTCCTCGGGCCTTTGGCATGACTGTCAATCACATGGTTTCCACATTGTGGAATGGCTGTCACCTCAATAAGTGGCCCCAATTGGCCTGTGACCCAAGCAAGGTCAATCCGAGTTCTTTTCACTGGGAAAGGGGAGAGAGAGTCTAGACCTCTCTTCTCTTCATTTTCCATCTTGATAGACAATGTAAACCCAGAGATACGGCTAGAATCTTCCCAGCTCTGTGGAGAGAGCCCATCTAAGCATGAAACCAAGACAGATAAAAGCAGAGACCRGAGAGATGGTGAGAGTCTTATTTCTGATATTGCTTGGGAAACTGGACCCAGATGTCTGGTCCTAAATTTTTCATTTATCTAACATAACAAATATGCTTTTCTCTCATAAGAATATTTCTTTTGGAAAGATAGATTATTTCCTGTCTGCGGTTTCCCATCACTCTTAGAATAAAATAAACTCCTTAGCCACAGAAGGTCCTAGGTGATCTAGGCTCTGTGTTGCTGATTTATCTTAGGTCATGCTTCTCTTCAGTCACTATATTCCAGCCACACGGGCTTTCTAGATTCTTGGAGCTTATCAAGTTCATATATTAACTATCCATTGCTGTATAACATAGTGGATCAAAACAACAAAGATGTATTATTTCATACACACTCTACAGCCAAGAATCTGGCAGTGGGTTAGCTGAGTGTCCTGGCTCAGGGTCACTCTTAAGTTTCAGTCAAGATGCTGGTTGGAACTACAGTCATCTGAAGACTTGGATGGCTGCCAGAGTGGCTCACATACTGATAAGTTGCTTACTGCCTTTTTTTGATTGTAAAATTGTAGATTGTAAATGYACTCGGGATCATTATTTTTAAAACTGATGCACATATGTATCAATTATAAATATTCTCAGTTGCAAGGTTAAACATAATCATGATCACAGAAACAAAGAGGTAGAATTTTTTCTCACACATAATAATAAAACATAATAATAATTTCTCACACACATAATAATAATTATTAATTCATTAATAATGATTAATTCATTTATTAATATTCAAACAAACTTAAAGACTATGTTCCACATTCAGATTCCTATTCCTCACTCAGCTGGATGATGGTGGGTAAGCTGGATGTGCTTGTCAGCAGGAGGCTTTAGTCTCTCTCCACAAAGCTGCTTGAGTATCCTCCTGACATGGCAGCTGCTTTCTCCCAGAAAGAGTGATCCAAGAGAACAAAGCAGAAACTGCAACCCATTTTATGACCCAATCTTAGAAGTCACCCACCATCATGTCCACAATATCCTAATGTCACATAGGTCAACTCTTTGCAATATGGAAGGAGACTTAAAAAAGTGCATGGAGAGCCATGGAAGGATATTTGGGGGCTGGCTACCACAGTTCACTTCTTCTCAAAGCCCTTCACACTTCCTGTTTTCTGGATGATTCTCCCTCAAACTTCTGCCTAACTAGCTGCTTAAAGTCAGATCTTAGCTGAAATATCACCAAAAAGAGGCCTTTCCAGATCACCCAAGTCACTATCACAGTGGTCTATTTTATTCATTCTTAATACCAAGATTATATTGTAATTTGTCTGATCGATTCGTATCCATCCCTCTCTGCCTCACCTGCAGTCAGACTAGCATCCTTATCTTGGATTTTCACTACTACACCCCAAGCACCTGAAACAATGCCTGGTGTTTAATAGGAACACACACACACACACACACACACACACACACACACACACACAAAATATTGATGAAAAAGTGAATGAATGAATGAATGTGTTAAGATCCATGACTCAATTAAGAGTTTTGCCTTGTACAATATCAAACAAATTCTGAAATGTGGAAAGATGGTTTCTTCTTTCTTCTCCTCTTAGTTATTTAGAATTGTAGTCCCAAGGATTATAATGAAAAGACTATACATAGATTATCAAGTAATGGTATTTTCATTTACAAAACATTTGTCTTGGGGAAGTTTCAATAAAGGGATAATCTCTTGAATTTGGAAAATATTTCTGGGTTCACCCTATAACTGCCAAAAGTCTGGAATCAAAGATACTTTAGTTAATGTTTATTTCTGTTGATTCTGCAGACTTTGACACTTCCTGATTTTTTGAACAGCCATCTGTGAGAACCTACATACCCTGACTTTTCTTAATTGACATGAAGGCCTGTGGAATTTGGGCTAAGTGCCTGATATATTTAAGCTGGATTTATGTTTGGCACCCAAGTACTTGAATCTTTGTGGGAAGAATCTCACAAAATGCCAGAACCCAGCAGGAAAGGACATATCTCCAACTAACAGGTGAATGTCTTGAAGACAGGATGACTTCTTTTATATMTCTTGATCATAATTAAGTTATTATCAAGGTTTTTCTGTTCTTCCTTGTGTARGCCTTTTTCAGTACATTCCTTTTGCAAACTCGTCAGGGATCTCCATGTTGATCATCACAATATCAGTAAAATGCTCAGATTCTGCCTACCCATGTGGAATTTTCCTTCTCTTATGTCCCTAGATATTTCATGACTATAGCTCCTACATGGGAACATGGTGGTACTAATTAATCATTTCCACACATACAATCACATCAGAGGTTTACAGACACCCTGCATGGTTGGCAGGACAGGTGATACTCACCTCTGGGCACATGATATAAGAAGAATTGGATTTCAACATGCCAGAATTCTTTTGTTGGGTGGAGGGGTGGTTACTAAGGATTGAACTCAAGGCCACTCAACCACTGAGCCACATCCCCAGCCCTATTTTGTATTTTATTTAGAGGCAGGGTCTCACTGAGTTGCTTAGCAACCTGCCTTTGGCTGAGGCTGGCTTTGAACTCACCATCCTCCTATCTCAGCCTCCCAAGCTGCTGGGATTACAGGTGTGTGCCACGGTGCCTGGCGCCAGAATTCTTATAAACAAGTTGGCTACAACAGGATTCCCGTGACAAATGTGTCTTTTCATTTCCCCGGGTTCTTTATTGTCTTAGGACCATCCTGGAGTATGATTCTCATTCTAGGTAAAGTGACTGCGAAGCCAATAGGTCCCATGGATCATGTGGTTTTTACTTTGTGTATCACCAGGGCTTGGCCATCTCTCGTTAGGTCCAGTGATAGCACAAGACTGGTGAAACTATTATGGTTTGGATAYGAGGTGTCCGCTCAAAAGCTCTTGTGTTAATGCAGGAATGTTCTGAGGTGAAATTATTAGAATGTGAAAGTTGTAACCTAATCAGTTCGTCCTGGTTTAAATGGACGGACTGGAGGTAACTGTAGGCAGGTGGGGTGTGGCTGGAGGAGATGAGTCACAGGTACATGATTTGGAAGACTGCCTCTTCCCAGCAAACCGTTCCCCTTTCTCCCTCTGCTCCCATAAATGGAGTAGGGCTCCTCTATCATGCCCATCCGCCATGTTGTTCTGCCTCATCTTGAGCTCAGAGCAATGGAGTCATTTGTCTATGGACAGAGAACCTCTGAAACTATGAACCCCAAGTAAACTTTTTCCTCCTGAGTTGTCAGGTATTTTGATCACAGTGCTGAAAAGCTGACTAAAATAATTCCTTCTTCCGCCATCTTGGATCTGAAAGTCCACCTCTCTAGTGAAATTTCCATGTCAGTCATTGCAGTTTTTAACTCCAGAACTCCAGCAGGAAACCTTTGGGAGAGTGAAGAACCCTCCAAAGCAGTAAGAAAAGGAAGCTCTTAGGGCTAATGCCCGTTCTTGCTGATTCCCAGGGTAGAGTCACTAAGATATAACCCACCAAATGGGCCCCCACCTGGATGCCTACCTATGATTTCACTGTACCTGGTGGAATGGAGGGGGATAGGGCCAGGGTGTTCAGAAGGTGAGAGACCTTTGCCCACACAGAAGCCCTCAAGGTGTGTTTTCTGGCTCAGGGTGTTTATATAAAACACCCTGCAGAATCACTCTGATTCCTCAAATTCCACACAATCATTAAACCTATTAAATTATTCTTGCTTTAAACCATTGCAGTTTGGGGTGGTTCATTACACAGCAACAGATGACCAAACATCCCTTAAATCCAAGGAATGTGATAGGCTAGGTTTCTTTCTTAGAAATCTGTCCCACATAACTCCATAGGAATTTTATGGTCCTCAACTAGCCTTAGATATATATGAGATCAGTTGATTAAGGGCTCACATTGATTGATCATGTCCTGGGGCTGGGGCCAGGGGAGGGCAGGGATGAGAGGCCACCAAATACTACTGATATATAACAGCTGCAGGATTTGCCTTTTTCCCCTCCTAATTTGGGATTAACTTTTAAAGAAGATTAAGGGCCAAGCAACACAGGAAACTCAAATTACTAAATCTTAGCTTTTGAAATCCCCCCAAAAGATTGAAATAAATTAAACATGTTTTCATAATGAAAAAAATAAAAACGTTGCTTAGTCTCAGTTCAAAGCTACGAACAAGAATTCAGCTCCAATGGGAGGGGAAAATAAAAACTTGTCCAACTGCCCAGACCACATCTCAGGCCCTGTCCCTCAGTCTTTGGTGAGCCAAGCACATTTTCTCTGCTCTGTGCATAGAATCTCAGCACCTGACCCTGTCTGGTGGCAAAGGCTTTAGGAATCTGGTCTAAGGAAATTGATGGGTCCTGGTGAGGATCCGCACAGGGCACCTGAGAGGCATTACAGTATGGTGCTCCTAGGCAGCATCTTAATTAACCTCTGGTTAAAAATCTCATCTTTGCCATGTGTTCTCTGAGCCTCAGTTCTTTTTTCTTTATATGCATATAATAACTTCTTCAAAGATACATTGTGAAGATCAAGATAGAAAGTTTCATATTAAACAGATATTTTGTAACATACAATTTTAATCCCTTGGCTGGTATTTTTACTACATTTTTGGACTTATTTTCCTAGTGTTTATTCCAAGGATTATAAAAATAAATTTCAACTGGTTACAATCTATTTCACATTAACATCGACTTCATTCTAGTCAAATATAAAAATTTTCTTCAAAGTAGCTCCATTTATTCATTCCTCTCTAGTGTTATTCTTCTCATTTATACTAGATCTTACTGTGTTATCAACTAAATAACACGATTTACAATTGTTATTGTATATAATCTTATGTATTTTAAATCAGTTAAGAAAAATAACTATAAACTATGTAGTCTTTCATATTTTCCTCCATATTTACCTTTTCCAGTGTTTTTTTTCTTCATAAGAATTTAAGGGCTGGGGATGTGGCTCAAGCGGTAGCGCGCTCGCCTGGCATGCGTGCGGCCCGGGTTCGATCCTCAGCACCACATACAAACAAAGATGTTGTGTCCACCGAAAACTAAAAAATAAATATTAAAAAATTCTCTCTCTCTCTTTAAAAAGAAAAGAATTTGAGTTATTATATATTGTTATTTCCTTCCATTTTCAAAGGAAGAACTTTCTTTGAAACTTGTAGTAGTGTTCACCAACGTTCTCTCAGTCTTTGTTTATCTGGAAATGTTTTTATTTCACCTCCATCTTGAAACACAGTCTTGCTGGTCACAGAATTCTTGATTGACAAGTTTTGTTTTCCTTTCAGCATTTTCAATGTGACTTTCCACTGCCTTCCTGCCTTGTTCTGTTGATGGTTTTGTTGGTTCTATTATGTAATGGGCCATTATTCTCCATCACCTTCAAGATTTTCTCTTTGTGTTTGGGTTTCCATGGTTTGTACTGTTTCCCGATGCAAATCTCTTTGTCTTCAAGTTCTATAATTCCTTCTTCCACCATCTTGAATCTGAGAGTCCACCTTTCTAGTGAAATTTCCATGCCAGTCATTGCAGTTTTTAACTCCAGAACTTACAGTTAGTTCTTATTTTATAATTTCTCTCTTTCAGTAGAAATTTCTTTTATGGACAAATTATTGTCATCATACTTTTCCTTTAACGCTTTAAACATGATTTCCTTTTATTATTTGAACATATTTGTAATGGCTCCTTTGACATTGTTGTCTGCTAATTCCAACATCTGGATCCCTCAAAGAGTTTCCATTGACTGATTTTGGTCCTGAATATGGACATCTCTTTTTTCCTTTGAACATCTCCCATTTCTTGTACATCTTTTTTTTTTTTTTAACCAAAACTGAATTTTTTAAAAAATATTTTTAGTTGTTGATATACCTGTATTATTTATTTATTTATATGTGGTGCTAAGGATGGAACCCAGTGCTTCACACATGCAAGTGCTCTGCCACTGAGCCATAACTCCAGCTCCAGAAATTTTAGATACTACATTATAGCAATCCAAAATTCTGAGTCCACATGCTCCATCCCTGGTGTGGTTAATCTGTCTCCCCTGTGGTATGTAACCACTGATATCTACATTCATCTTTAAATTATGGGGTGTGCGTGCATTTTATCTGCAGGAATGGTCTCCTGTGCTTGTTTAAAATAAACAGTTGGTTAGCCAATGATTGATCAAAATTATGCTCAACCATCTTGAGCCAGTAAGGCTCCAATAGCCTTTGCCAATGGAACTATGGGTTGCTGGGGGAACACATTCAAAGTTTATGAATGTATGAATTTAATAGAATTTATGGCCTTTACTTTCTATCAGGCCCTCTCATGTCTCCTCTGTGTGTGCAGGAGCGCATATTCRGACAAGGATGTGGGGATATACTTTCTGATCTATCTTGAATATGTATGCATTCTTGTGCGTATTCACAACATTTAATTCCACCAGAGATCTATATGGGAGTTTAACAAGGCCTGCTATGGTGGTCTCATTTCTCAGACTTCCCTGTTAAATTTGTGGCTAGCCCACTGGTCCATTTCTTGCCCTAAATAGGATTGTAGCAGCAGACTKCGATATTGTCCTTACCCGGTCCCTTGCCACTGAGACACTACTGTATTTGGCAATGCCTAGGCCTGTGAGATTTTTCTGCTTTCTGATCCAAATCAAGTCAGCCCCCTTATGCATTGAAGCTGCTAATTTTCATTAAAACTTTCTAATTGATGGTGCAGGGGGTGGAGAACAAAAGCAGTCACAGCCCAAAATGACATAGATTCCCACTGTTCTTAGTTCAGTAATCTTTCTTGAATAAAACCTTGTCAATCTTTTCTATGCCTTTGGTTAATTTCTTGTATCCTAAAGTGATTGCTATTGATAGTTATCAATTTTTATTCTTTTGAGGGAGAGAATTTGTTAAACTCCTTTCTCCTCCCTTCCAGCAAGTCCTGCTTCTACATGAGCATTTAAAGTTTATTAATTCTAAGTTCATTACTGTTTGGGGGACTTCTGTTCTGTCCATGCTGCTAGTTAGCACTTACCTATTGCATTAGTGGCCTTTACTAATGAGCCATATCTCCCCACATTCATGTCCCTGTGCAGTCCCCCCCTCTTCCTCCTAGTCTGGATCTATGACATGATTTAAAGAGCAGAATGCAGAAGAAGCATCAAGGTGTCAGTTCCAGACATAGGCATTCAAAAACCTGGCAGCTTCAGTTTTTTGCTCTTGAAGACCCTGAACTGCCACATAAGAAGTTCAGTTACTCTGGAAAGACCACAAGAAGAGTGGAAAGTGAGAGACCCTAAGACCCTATGGAAATCAGCAAGGTAGTTAAAGGTGGGAAATGAGGCCCCATAAATTTCACAAATAAGGCCAGCCCCAGGTTAAGTCCCTACCTATGTGTGAAGAATCCATCATAGAATCTCCAGCCCCCACAGGCTCACAGGAGCAAAGGTTAGCCACTGCTACCAWGTCCCACCTGGATTTTTGACTCCCAGCATCATGAGAGGAAAATCCATGATGGTCATCTTAAGTTACTAAGTCATACATAGTGTAAGCAATGGGTAACCAAAATATTCAGATAACTTAATGACAGTCAGCCTCTGGTTTCTCACTTCCTCCCATACACATCTGTCAGGCTCAAGAACCTCCTGGTGTGTGGACCTATGACTCCTTTACCCAAGTTGTATTGTGTCCCAGGTACCCATCACCTGAAGCACAGACAAGGATCATTTTGCACACTGCTCTGCAGAGAACCCAGCAAAAATAGGCCCTTAATAAAAGGCTTCATGTTGACACATTCAGCTAATATGATCATGAGTCACACTACCTATTACATCCAGGAACCAGCCCTGTTCCTTTCTGAGTCACTGAATCACGCTGTCAGAATCAAGGCAATACCTCCCATCTGCACGCCCTTCTCATGCCAAGGGTCCTCACCAATAAAGCCTGCTCATGCTAGAAATCTGTTTTCATCCAGGGATCTCTCTTCATTCTGAGCCCATTTAGATCCCATGCATTTTATTTTCTCCCAAGCCAAGGAATCCTGGTCAGACTCCTACTTACGTGGAAGGAGCTCAATGTCAGTTGAACGAAGAGTCGTATGAGTTTTGAAAATCCTTGGATTTGGTCATCAGTGATGAAAGAGAAGAGGATCTCGTGGACACCCAATAAAGGAATGAGGACCAGTGTTGATTTTGCCAGTCTGCAAATGACAACCAAATCACAGTCATGAGGGCCACCCTGGGACTCAACCGCGTTCCCTGCTCTTTGGTGTCTGTCTTTATCATCTTGATGAATAGTTGATTTTCCAGTTGGTCTTTTTGATTACACATTTAATGCTTGAGATTCTTATTTACTGTTGCATTCCCTACACCTGGTAGATGCTTAGGAAATATGAATGCAATGAATGCACCATTGGATAACTCCTCCCGTATAGGTTTGTCATAATCATACAGATATTAATGTTTTAACTGAGAGGTAGATAATCATGCAAGTAGCTGCCATGCCCAGACTCCACACCTCCCAGGTTTAGCAATTTTCCTATTACATGGCTAACAGATGTGTCTCTCTCTCTCTTTTTCTACTCAGGTCTTTCAATGTCAGGACTTTAAATATCAGCCTGAGAATGGAGAGAAAATGAGTTGCTCGGGATCACAAAACCTAAATGGCAAATCCCAGTCTGGAAATGGGGGGGTCTCTGACTTAACCTCAGGCCCTGCAAATCTGAGCTGCACTTTGCCATCAGACCTCAGGCAACCCTCAACCCTGCAAGGACCACAGGAAATGAAAACCTGATCCTCCTCATAAAAAGTGCTGTGTGGAGGTTTGCTGCTGTATACAGTCTACACAAAAAAAGACAAACATTCCTTTGTACCACCCACRTGTAAAGTGCACAGCTGGGGCCCAAACACGCCAAACTGGTGAGTCCCAAGTGTGGCTGACTAGTAAAATTCCTTACAGAGCTTTTAAAATATTTCCAGTGGGCCCTCCAAATAGGTTGGGTTCTGTATTGGTAGATTCAACCAACTGTGGATGGAAATTTTTCCTTTTTAATTTATCTATACCAAACACAAACATTTTCTTTCTTTCATGAGTCTCTAAACAATACAGTATTGTAACTATTGATATATCATTGGCATTGTTTTAGGTATCAAAAATAATCTAGAGACGGTTTCAAGTATTTGGGAAGATGGGCGAGTGGCAAATACCTCATTTTCATATAAGGAAACTGAGCATCTGTGGATATTAGTATCATGGGGATCCTGGAACCAAACTTCCATGAAGACCAAGGATGCTGTGGTACCCATAAACTTCCTGGAATTGTGTCAACTCCCTGAGGTTGGGTCTTGAGACAGTGAATTTTAAAGAAATTCCTATAGGATTCTGTTACATAGCTAAGTTTGGAGATGATTGCTTTTTTTTTTTTTTTTTTTTTTTTACTATTGAGCTGTTTCTAGATTTGAAACTAACCACATTAGCAAAGGTGACTCATATTCAGGATTCGAACAAAGCTATTGTCTAATTTGCATTGGAAAAAAAAAGAGACTAATTGCAATGTGTTTTTAGCCCGAGTCACTTCTCCACACCCCCCCGGAGGTAGAGATGTAGACACTCGAGAGTGTCATCAACAGTTTACAAGCAGTTCTTCAGGAAGGTTGAACTCCATCCAAGTTTACTAGAATCCTGTATCTGAGACCCATTCAGTGTCATCAATGAAACAAAAAACTTTCACTATATGCCCTTAAAGGAGGTAGTGCCAGAAGAGGGGAGTAGGAGCCACCATGTAGGAGTGACTCCACCTGTCCACGTGGGCTTTGTGTCCCTGATCCTTGACCTTCAGGGGAGGCCCCTGAGTTGGGGGAAGAGTTGCAGGTCCCTGTCATGCGGTTCTCCTGAGTGGAACTCAGATTACTCCCATCCCCATTCCCAGTCAGCGGGGAGTCTCTCTGCCAGGCACAGTAACTTGGTCCCAAGAAGAGAATATTTTAAGAGTTTTCCTCCTTTTCCTACTCCTGCTTCTTCTCCTTACTCCYCTTCTCCTTTTCCTTCTTGTGTTGGGGATCGAACCCAGGCCTTACGCATTCTAAGCCTGCACTCTATCATTGATCAATATCCACAGAGCCTAAGGGTTTGGGTTTTGTTTGTTTTAGTTTTGCCTTTTTTTTTTTTTAAATTTGCAGGAGTGTTTTAAAAACCCTCTGGGTCAAAGGTTGCAAAATGGTGATCATAGGTTGGAAATGACTTGCAGACAGTTGGGTTTAAATGACTTAGTGATTTATTTTTAAGCTCTCGGAGACATCTTTAAGGAGATTGCAAAGTAAAGATGTTCAGATTTTCATCTCTTGGAAACAGGACACTTAGGGGCCAAACTCCTGCTTGGCAATCATTGGTTCTGGCTGGGTTGTGGTCCTCCATTTAGAGGGAACCTGTGATCTTCAGCCCCCGCTGAGCCTGGACTGCTCACTTAGGACCTTATTTGGCCCTTGCCCATGTCTGAATCTGTGACCCTTGCTCTGGGCGATCTGGGTTTTAATGACACATACTCACATGCTTCCTGTGGATCATGTCTTACTATGAACTTATTCTGGGGCCATGTTATGGCTTTAGGTGTTTTTCTTAAAAAAAATAAACTTTATATTTTGAAATAATTTTAGATTTATAGAAAAGTCGCAAAGGTAGTACAGGGTTGCCACACACCCTTCCCTCAGTCTCCATTTCTGTTAAACGATACATGGCCACAACACACCTGTCAAACTCAGGGAGCCAACACGGGAAGATCACTAGTAGCTAAATTGCAGATTTTATTTGGATTCCACTGTTTTTCCACCTAATGTCCTTCTCACCTTCCAGAATCCCACACTGCATTTAGCATGGAGTGACGGTTACTGAAGAGCCATCTTTTGGGGCCATTTGAGTTACTATCATCCTTCTGGTTGGAAGTAAGAAGGAATTTTCCACTACTCACGTTCTTCTAACTTCTCCTTAGATGAAAGTCCTATTTGTGACCCAGCTCAGATGAAAACCCATAAATAGTCAAAGCAGCTTACCCCTATGGATTGTGTGTACACTTATTTTTCATCCATAACCATTTGTTTATTTAACCAGTATAGTTTATTGTAGTCGTTTAACTATTCAACAAATATTTACTGCATATCGACTCCGGGCACATAAGCGGGGACAGTGGGAGTGGAAGAGTTGGAGCTGAAGGTGGCAGTGTGCAGGGCCAGCTCTTGGACCTGAGTTCAAATACCCGTGTCATCAATTACTCTCCATGTGCACTTGGGCCAATTATTTCACTTCTCTGTTAGTTAGTTTCCTCATCTGTAAAAAGAGGATTTTACTAATAATAGCATCCAATAGGGTCATCATAAGGATTAAGCCAATAACATGGGGTAAATCCCCAGAATAAATAATATCTAATCCTAATAAATGATCAATAAATTTTTAAAGAAGACATCACTGCCTTTAGGTTGCTATGGCTTCAGTGATTTTGATCACTTTTATTTCCATTTGTGATATGCTTAGTCTGTAGTTGCTGATGGGGCTCAGAACTTGCTTCTTCAAAATATGGTATCTAGACTGTTTTAAGCTGAAAACTTTTGAGAAAATTACAGAAGCAGGAACATCACTCTTCAATCTCTCCTCTACTTCTTCCCTAAAATCAGCTCAAAAACCTACAAAGGGGATCTGGGGTTGTGGCTCAGGGGTAGAGCCACTTGCCTACCATGTGTGAGGTACTGGGTTTAATCCTCAGCACCACATAAAAATAAATAAATAAAACAAAGGTATTATGTCCATCTACAACTGAAAAAAATAAAAAAAAAAAACCACAAAGGATTTTCTGAACTGCCCCTGACAGTTCCAAAGGCCCTCCTTTGAGAAATGCCCTCCTTGCACCCCCAGGGAAGGAACATCCTTATCTCTGAAGACTCCGAAGACTCTGCACCCACAGGTCTTGGTTAGTTCCCCCAGGTTAGTGCCATCTGGTCACAACCCTTCTGTCCACTGCTATTTCTCCATAACTCTCTATTYGCCATCAGACCTGACCTAAAAATGTATAACTCCAATCATTTCTTGGGGTCTTCATTTCCTCATGAAAGTTCCTGTGTCACATAAAACTTCGACATAAGTTTGCATGCCTTTGACCCTGTGAATCTTATCAGTTTGACTTTCAGACCCCCAACCAGGGACCCTAAGAAGATGGAGCAAAAAAAAAACCTTTTCTCCCTCAAATTGCCTGCCAGGAAGTCCTCTGGGGAAGCACTCTGGGTCTTAGCATGTTAAAAATGACCCTCTTTTATACATTCATTAGGCATTTGATCCTCGTGCATCCCATGGAAGGTTAGGATTGTTCCTCTGTGAAAAGAGAACCGTCTCCTCCTGGGAACCATGAAGAATAGAGAACTCGGGAAGCTAGGTGTCTGCTGGTCCCTGTCMACATTCCAAGAACATCCTTAGCCTTGCTGCTAGCCCTAAAGTTCCTCCTTCGTGCTTGGCTCTCTGCTCTCCTACTCCAAAAACACAAAGATGGGACATCTTCTGTTTCCTTTGCTTGATGGTGGAAGCCCAGGGACAAGGGCTAAGAATACAGAAGATTCTCCAGCTCCTAGCAACCCGCCTTTTTGGCAGGGCCTACATGTGTTTAATTCAAACTTTCCTAAAATATACTACTGGAGGGGAGCCAGATCTTGAACATTACATTCCAAACGTTTTCAAAATCTCAGAGTTGGAGGGAGCCTGTACCTACCAGAATTTGGATGAAATGCATTGGGCCCATGAGAGGGCTTTCAGGGAATACAAACATGGAAGGGAGACGTGGAAGAGGAGCAAGCTTTCAACACRGGAGAGGGCAGGGGGAGACAGGCATGCTGACAACTTACGAGGATGGCAGTAGGCAGCCCCTTCCAGAGCCTGGAAATGAGGAAACTAGCACTACTTCCCGAGAGCAAAGTGACAAATGAGCTCATAGTTTTTTTTTTTGTTTTGTTTTTGTTTTTTTTTTTGCTGTGGGATTCTCTAGCCCAGGGAGCAAAAATAGCATGGGTGTGTCTTGATAGGTTCCTAATTTTTTGCTAAAAAAAAAAAAGAAGCATAAGTGAATAAATTAAATTAGACTCTCCATGAGAAAAAATTTAAATAAGTTGTCCACATGGCCATCTCATGTTGCCCTCTTCCTCACTGAAAATGGCAGTAAAAATWACAAAGGAGGGTGTTTTGGCTACTCATCCCGCTCTCCTCTGTGGAAGGCACACTGGCTCTGGAGAATGAACCACATTCTCAACARGTAGATAGTGCAATAGGCCAGGGAGGTTTCTCAGATGTCCTTCAACCTCTCTGCTTTGACCACCCTCTCCCCAAGCAACATTCTGGTGAACTCTGGATTTCTGAGAAACATCGTGAGGCATGTGTGCACTACAAAGGAATGCCCGACCCCATCCCCACTTTCCACAGACATTAAAAATGAATAACAGGTTGGGTGTGGTGGCACATACTTGCCCATAATCCCAGCAACTCTGGAGGCTAAGGCAGAAGGATTGCAAGTTCAAGGCCAGCCTCAGTAACTTAGTGAAACCCTGTCTCAAAACAAAAAACAAAAAGGGCTAGGGATRTAGCTCAGTGGTAGAGTCCCTCCTGGGTTCAATCCCCTGGACAGAGAAGGGGGAGGAAARGGAGGAGGARGAGGAGGAGGAGGAGACAAGGAACAGAGAAGGAGAACTCGTCATCTAGTTTATGTACATGAACTTCCTGTAAGTTCAGAGGGCATCAGCCAACCATTCAGGAACACAGAGAGGTCCACTGTACAGTCTCTGGGTAGTGGCAAGCTAACCAAGGTGAGGCCTCTGATCCTGAGAGGCCTTTGGGTAGATATGTACCCAGGTTCCCTTTCTCTAGCTTTTTCCTTGAACAAAGATAGGGAAAGGGAGAAAAAAAAAACAAATTTCCAGACAGAATGTATATGTCAGACAGGGTTATTCTTTCTACCCTCYAACCATCCATTCTCGATCATTGCTCAGCCATAAAGGTTCCCCAATGTTTTGATTTACACTTCCCCAGATCAATGGCTACCAAGTGAGTATGCACACCCCAGGCTTATGCAAGCTGACTTCTTTAATACTGGAAGAAAATAGAAGATAATAGGAGTTCTTTGTATATTAATATTTATCTATCATTGTATATTTTCTGTTTTTTATGTATAAGGTATGTATTAGTTCATTAGACTATATATATATATATATATATATATATATATATATATATATTATACACACTCACACACACACACACACACACACATATATATATACACATATACATATGATGAGGCACATGCTCAAAATTTCTTTACTGATCAAGATGCATGATGCATGATCAAAAAGCTTAAAAACCACTATCTTGGATAACTCTAGAAAAGAGGGACCCTGGAAAAGAAAAAAAAAACAGGCTTTATAGAAACACCATTCAGCATACCTAAGCAGAAAATTCCACGTGTTATTTCACTAGAGCATCTCATCAGAGGTCCCCTATTCTGGCTGTGTATCCGAATCCCTGGGGAATCCACAGGAAGTCTATATGGCAGGTTTCCGTCCTGTACCCCCTGAGTCAGTAGTGGGCCTCATGAGGCTGTGCTTTGAGCTGGCTCTCAGGGAATGCTTAAAAGTAGTCAGAATGGAAAGATCTTGTAGAGGGTCACTGAGGGTCTGGAACCTGGGGATGATCCCAGGGGTGCCTGGTGGACTTTAGGGACACAAAGCAGCAGGGGCTTGGGCTCAGAGTCCTTTGGAATTCACCTGACCCCTGATTCTGCCTCCTGGGAGTATTCACCTCTGTCCAGCTTCTGGGTACCCTGCTTGTCCCTGCATCCAGAGGACTGCCCTGCCTGAGTGGACCAGGAGCTCAACCCTCAGAGTGGTGAGAGGCTGAGCCTTGGGAAAGGGGCCAAGGAGGCTGCTCGGCCACTTGGAGGCCCGACTAGAGGCGCCAAGAGAGACAGTGCAACTCCCCAGGGCCCAGGCCAGGCCAGTTCCCCAGGGCTAAGGGTTTCTGCAAAATATTTGAGTGAAAGCCTCAAGTAGCAGCTCTAGTATATATTTGCCCATTCCTAAACTGGGTATGTTTACCCTTGGCGATGTCGTAGAGCAGGGATTGGGGGATGATAGGATGTGAGGTCTGGATCCTRAGCAAATGCTGCTCCCCACCTCTGATTAGGTGAGCCGTCTAACTGAATCACAAAGGCTCATGCTCAAAATTTCTTTGCTGATCAAGATACATGATCAGAAAGCGCAGACAYCCCTGTCTTGGATAACCCTGGAAAAGGGGGACCCGGAAAAGAAAGCAAAGAGGCTTTACAGAAGCCTCCTTGAATTGACATAATAGGCAGGAGACGGGTCTGCCTCAACACTCCCATTTTATACACCAAAAACAGGCCAAGGGGGGCCAACGCCCTTGCCTAAGRCCAGTCAGTGAGTCTGGGGTGGTGGGCAGCTCTCCATCCCCCACCACCTGTCGAATGCTCCACCCCAAGGCCCCAGTTCTTAATGAAGTAGCACGCATGCGCCTCAAAGATGGGGTCCACGTTGTATTTACCTCTTGTTCCAGTTAGAGACATTCATTAAATGTTTGTCAGATAAATAGGAAGACCACCTTCTGGCACCTGGCTCAGACTTAGAAAGAGTGAGGTGCAGGGCTGGGTCCCTCTTCACCCCTCCCACCTCCTCTAGCCTGCTGTGTGGACTGAAGCCCCTACTTCAGAGCYATCACTTGGGTTAGAACACCCCTTCTTTGACAGCCCCAGCTGAAATCACTGGCCACATCCAAAGGAAAGGATAACTAGGAAAAGAGCAATGCAGATCTCAGTAATGTGCCATCTGATCTATGACGGACAAGGACAGCTGTTGCAACAGAAAGCAGGAGAGACACAGCAAAGTCAAGTCACAGAAAAAGCAATTGTATAGGGAACATATTTCCTTAGACTCTGAAGTTTGTGGTCTTACCTCTCAAGGTCTCAAAAATTACTCAAATCCTCTTCTGAGTTATGAGTGTATCTTTTGTTCTATGGCCTCAAATCTTTCAAGAAAGGCAACTGCCAAAGTTCCTTTCATACCAGGCTTTCCCTTCTCCATAAGTCACTCATCCTTAGGGACACTTTACAGTCTTGTACTGGGGGGAATGAGTGTGTCCCCGGCTACTCACCACCTGCTCCCTTTTCATGGGGCCAGAAGGTCCTCCTCACTGCAGGTCCCACATGCTCTATGACACTATTTTCAGAAGGACTCTCCCTGACTCACCTCAACAGACAAATATACTAATGCAACTTTTTCTGACCTTCCTAAGATATTGGGCAACACCACAAGAAGGATTTGAAATAACCTTGGACTTCTGAACACCAACCGCAGGCCACTCACCTGTATTTATAATCTCTGAAGCACATTTGATGGGCTTTCAGCTTAGAAATGAGAAGCCTGAGAATTTTCAGGAAGATGAAGAAATTAACCTTGAAAAAAGAAAAAAAAAACAGATGTGGATAAGTATAGGTGTGCTCCATAATGCTGTGACGATTGAGAACACCTGGACGTGGCCATCCGCCCCTCATCCACATGAACCAGGGGCAATGTGGCAGTTGGTTGCTTGCAATAATTACTTAATCTCCACTGCTCCAAAGGCCATCTGATCTGAAGGTCTAGAAGGGATTTTAGAAGTATCATTTAATAATTCTTCTGCTTAGTGAGGCCCATAGCTAAAGCCAGCAAAGGTAGACATCTTCTTCATGATCATGAGCAGCATCAATCATCATCATCATCATCACCAACATTTATTGAGTACTTAYGAGGCCAGGCTTTGGGCTAAGAACTTTCCATGGATTATTTTATTTAATCTTCATAACAACCCCTAAAGTGGCTACAACTATTTTTATCCCCATAATATAACAAGGAAACAGGCATAGAGGAGTATAATTTCTAAAGTTGTGCAGCTAATCAGTGACTGAGCTATTGCTTCAGCTCAGATCTATCTGATAATAACCTTCCCTCCATTTAAACAGAATGCCACACTGCTGCTCATCTGTAAGAACCCCAGCCTATCAGGGTATGGGGGCATGTGCCTGTAATCTCAGCTATTTGGAAGGTTGAGGCAGGAGGATCACAAGTGTGAGGCCAGTCTCAGCAACTTAGTGAGAACCTGTCTCAAAATAATTTTTACTTATTTGTTTACTTATTTCCTCATTTATTGTTGTTGTTATACTATACTGGGATTGAACACAGGGACACTCTACCACTAATCTACATCCCCAACCTTTTTTATTTTTTTTGAAGCAGAATCTCACTAAATTGCCCAGACTGGCCTCCAACTTGGGATCCTCTTGCCTCAGCCTCAAGTTGCTGGGATCACAGCTCAAAATTAAAYTTTAAAAAGGGTCGGGGATGTAGCTCAGAGGTACAGCACTTGCTTACCATGTGTGAAGCCCTGGATTCAATCCCTAGCTCTGCAAAAACAATAACAGCCACAGAGAAAAACAAAAACAAAACAAGACTCTAGTCTTGTTGGTGTCTAAGTTGAGGTCCTGCTGCCACATGAGGTTCACCGGTCAGAATATATTCTCCACTCCATAGAACACTTTTCTTAACTGTCCTAGATGGGACAAATCCAGCCCTTTGTTGCCCACCTTGGTAGAAATGGTAAGATGTACCTGCAAATTCCTTGACACTTCTCCCTTCAAAAGGCAGAGCCTAAACGTCCCCTCCTCCATGTGAGCTAAATTTAATGGCTTTTGTGTAATGATGCAAGAGGAAGTGATGGTAGGTAACTGTAGGGCCCTCAAAAGAATGGTTTCCCCTGAAACACCCTCTGGGGGAAGCCAGCTACAGGGTTGTGAAGGTTCCTAGGCAGCCCSTGGAGATGCAGAGAGACCCACACTAGAGAATGGCATCCCTTGGCCACCAACCAGCGCCATCTGTCGGTGGTGTGTGTTCACCTCTTGTTGCCAATCCTCCACTCCATCTTTAGGTCAGCTCATGAGCCTCCTGGAGGTGCAGAAGAGCAAGTGGTTGAGGATGTACTGAGTGTGGGCTTGGACAGCGAAGAGGAGGCTAGAGAGGGAGAGAGGACCAACCGACACAGGGCTGTTCAGGGTCCTGCGAAGGAGTTGGAGTTTTGTTTTGTTTTGTTTTGTTTTGTTTTTCTGAAAGCAATGGAGAGCCAGTGATAAATTCAAAGCAGGCAAGTGACCTGGTCAGATTCGTACTTCGGCATTTCAGAAAGGTCATTTTGGCATCAGTGTGGAGAATGGATTGGATGAGGACAAGAGCGGAGGCCACCAGGTGGGAGGCAGTTTCAGAGTTCCTGGGAGGGGGAGACGATGGAGAGGTGAACCCGATCTGCTGCTCTGCTATTTCCGAGATGGAGAAGGGTGACTGGTTTGAAGTTACTAGGARGCTTCAGTCAAATGAGCTTCCTAACTGGTTGGATGTGAAGTCAAAGATAACCCCGATGTTTCTGGATCTCAAATGTGTGGTGGTGCCGTTCACCAAGAGAGGGAGCACGTGAGGGGGGAAGAACGTGGGTAAGAGGAGGAGTCCAGTCGTTCTGAACATAAGAGATGCCCCATGCAATTAAGATATTTGTTTGCACCTCCACAGAGAGGTCCCAATCAGAGCATGAAGCCATTAGAGTAAAATCATTCAGGGAGACTCTACAGTGGGAGAGAGGGATAGAGGGTTAAGAGACTATCCTTGTGATGAAGGGAACTATGAAGGAGGTACTGTCAGCAAGAGACTGAGACCAAGTAGCGAAGGAAACCCTGCTCGGCGGCCCACGTCTGTGATCCCAGCCACTCAGGAGGCTGAGGCAGGAGGATCCTAAGTTCAGAGCCAGCCTTGGAAACTTGGCGAGACCCTGTCTCAAAATAAAATTTTAAAAAGGGTTAGGAGCATAGCACATTGGTAGAGCACTCCTGGGTCTRAACTCCAGTTGGAATGATCCACATAAAAGAGGTATCGGAAGCGCACGAGGGGAAGAAGGTTTTAAAGGCTATATAGAACTAAGCAACAAGGGTCTCACTAAGGAAGCAAGGCGGTGACGCTTTGTTTTTGTTTTTTTAAATGAAATTTGGGGAGATCCTGTCAACCCTGTTTAAGAGGCTTGTATGTAGTAGCAGACTCAGGATACCAAATGGAGACCATGATGCTCTGTGTCTTTTTTTTTTTTTTTTTTTGGCAGGGATGCAAGAAATTTTTGGTGCAGTTGTTATTTTAAGATTGAAAGATTTAGGGGGCTGGGGTTGTGGCTCAGTGGTACAGTGCTCGCCTAGCATGCACGAGGCACTGGGTCCAATCCTCAGCACCACATAAATGTAAAATAAAGATATTGTGTCCACCTAAAACTTAAGAATAAACATTTTTTTAAAAAAAGATTGAAAGATTTAATAGTGTCTCCATTGCAATGGAGAAGGAGCCCATGGAAAGGGTGATCAGGTGACAATTAATGGGACAAAGTCTCTACAGACAGTGATCCTGCACAGGACTAATGTCCCTGTCTAGAAATAAGATCATTTGACCACACACTGAAACACAACCTACAGAATCTACCCTATACCTGCTATCACCTGCTCTACCAGCCTTAGGAGAATTAATGCTTAWAGCTAAAAAGCTCACTCAGGCAAGCAGCTATTTATCTAATCYGTAAGCCAACAGGAATGATGGAATTTCCCAGCCAAAGGATATTTAGTAAAAGAAAATTTAAATACAAACTAAATGTAACCAAGTAATTTATCCCCTTTGAATGGGGATCTCTGTTTTTCATCATAAAGAGAAAAATCCTGGGTGCCTGGCTAAGTGATTTGTTGAACGCAGACATTTTTCTTACAAAGCAAGCTTCAGCAGCCAGGAGACACATCTTTCAGCAAATTCATTTCAGTCAGGAAGGTCTCCTTGGAAAGGAAGGGTCTAGTCAAGGACAACATGGATGCTTTGTACTTGGTGTCTTCCAGAGACCAGACAAGAGAAAGTGAGCATCCACCCACAGGCCGCATGGAGGAAGCGCCATCTTGGGTTACCATGGAGACTGCTCCTCTAGGCTTCCATGGAGACAAGAGTCCACCATCCGATTTGGCTGATGCTAGTCTTCATTTGTGCACAGTGAGAAAGGACCTAAAGGAGGAACTTTCTCAAGAACCAAGCCWACTCCTTTAGGATTCTGTGACCAGGTCAGGGGCACTTAGGACCTCAGAAATACAAGGCTCCCTTCCAGGTCCCCCACAGTACAGCTGTCCTCCTAGATATAACATTCTTGGTGGCACTTTTTGGCAACCCAGAATCTGTGCACAGATCTGTACCTCCAGGTTGGCTGAGGTGATGCCAGCATAGTAGGAGCTCAGGGGCAGGCCTCGGGTACCCCTAAACCCTCCCACCTCCCCCCCCCAAGTCCCTGTTCCTCTGACTTGCCATGTAGACTAAATGCCTGCTTTTAGAGCTGCTCCGTTAGGCCAAAACACATCTTTTCCAAGAGCTTTGCTAAAATGTGCATGTCCCATAGAAGAGAGGGAATGACTGGGGGAGGAGAGAGGAGATCTTTCTCTCTTTCCTTCATTCATTTTTTCCAAAGGGGAAAACTTCAATAAATTCCTATGATCTGATTTACAGTTTACGTCCACCATGTAAATCAGAAGACGAGATGCAGAAAAGCTAAGAGGAGGATGGGACAGGGCACAGCATGCAGGGAGATCCCCCCTTCAGAAAAGGAGACGTCTCCAGAAACCTGAGGCAGCTGAAAATCCCAAGTTCCTAGTGGGGCATGGGACCTAAAAAGAGAAAAGGCCAATGAAGACTGATTTTACCAGTTTCTCAGTTTTCCCAAGTTCTTAGACTATCAGAGGAGATTCAATGAGAGTGAGTGATGGATGGCTTTAACTTCATGAGATCAACAGAGAGTCCCATTCAATTTGTTGACACACATACACAAAAAGCTATTTAATAGGTGTTCAGTCTGGCCAGTCTCTGAATTCCAAGGATAAGGATATGGGTAGAATGTAATCATTCTATAAGACTATTTTTGTTTTTTTATATAGAGTAAGTATATTTGTTATAGGATAATATTTGTTATATTATTATAATRCTTATAATCACCATAAATATCCAAGTGGAGGACTCCAGTGCATCATGCCCAGACTGATGGGGCCTTGGACCCATGGTTTGGAGGGAACATCTTGTGGATTTGGTTCTATGGAATGTGTAAGGTTATCTTTGAAGGACTGAACTAATCCAGGCTGTATCTATGGGGGTAAGGGAGACTAAGACACAAGTCTTAGTCAATATGACCCAACTCAAAATGTACACTCAGGGATGATCGGTTAATCTAAGTAGTGAAGTCTTATACAAAAGGAGAGGTGGGAATTTTCCAATTTTTCTGTCTGGAGAAATACCCCCCAAAATACCTGGATTCTTCAGATATCACACAATGGACATTTTTGAAACATGAGAAATCTTATACTAACAGAGCAGCAAATGGAGTCTGCCAGTGTGTGTGGACGTTCAGCTGAGATGCACTCGCTTCAACCCAGATACTGATCAGCAAAGGCAGGCTCAGCGTGGGGGTCTGGAAGGGGCCCAACTATGACAACTGGGCATGCTTACCAGGGAGCCTGGGATAGTAGACTCTCCTTGGTCCCAATGCTGTGTTCACCATGCAGGGCTGAATATTTCCCAGGAAACCTCTACTCTATGCTCCAGAAATTATGGCCCAAGTTCAAATATGGCCAAGATAAAAGAATGTTAAGATCCTGAAATCTAAAATACCAAGTGMTACCAGCTCTATTATTATTATATCACTTTTATGGTATTTTGGTTTAAATTGAATATATGAGAGGTCACAAAATTTTTTTTCAACACAATAAAGATATGATGTTTGGCTTATGTCACAATCAAGTGCACTGTGGGGAGCTCTGCTCCATGCAGTCATTCAAGGACCCAATCCTTCCACGTTGTGATTCAGAGAATTCTCCATTGGAGTTGGAGTTATACCAATTCGTGTTGTTAGAAACTGCAGTGTGTGGTTACATATAACCAAACATGAAGGCAGATATTGGTTCAGTCATTGTCTGATGAAACTTAGGATAATAACTATGAAATTCTRTATCTAGCACCAAGCCAAGCACAGAGAAGGTGCTCAGTGGATGCTCAGTGGAAGAGGGTAGATAAGTGAGGCTTCAGTGCTGAGGAATCTCCATTCAGTCAGAGTTTTGATTACACAAGTCATGGCAGAATCTAGGCTGGATAATTCGCAAGCCTCCTAGGCTGTTCTATTGTGCAGCCACTGGCCACTGGGTTTCTCCACCTTAGCACCCCTGACATTAGGGATAGTAGACTTATTTGTTCTGCACATTATAAGACGTTGTACTGCATGCCTGGCCTTCACCCACTCCATGTCAGTAGCAAACTGCCCCTGCAACTTGTGACAACTAAAAATGTCTCCAGATAGGGCTACATAGCTCAGTAGAGAAACATTAGTCTAGTCCAATTCTGATTTTATAAATGAAGAAACAGAAGCCCAGAGATGTTAACTCACTTGGCGAAAGAATACATCACARATCAGTCATGAAGCCAGGATCCCTTACTCCTTTGATCAGCTTCTTCCACTCCACTATAAGGATTTTATTTTCCCTTTCATGTTTGATAGGACATACAGATTCCACTCTTCTGGATGCCCTCAAATCAATGCACAAAATCCTAGACTCCTAGAGCTATATGGGCTGGGAAAGCATCAGGTTGAGATTCCTACCATTCAGGAAAGACCTTTCTCTAACATTCATGTCAGTGTTTTTCCAGTTCATGATTAAATAAGTATCCTTTCCTTTGACCAAGAGAGAATTTTTTTCCCATTTCTGTTCAAGCTCATTTCCTCTTGTCCATGCCTCTGTAGACACAGACAGTTCATAGGCCTGAGAATGATTGTGAAATGGTCCTTCCCAGGCATGTCTGTTGACTTTTGTTAATTGGGGCAATAGATTAATTAATGGTTTGGTTTCCAAGGAGAAAGAGTTCACTAGGCAGGTGTGAGGACATCAGATGGACATTTCAGGAAGAGGAACTATAAAAGCAGGGGAGAAGTGAAATACCATATTGGATTTGGAGAACTTTGAGTTTCTCCATTTAAAGTAGAGTGCAGGGTGCCTGTGGTTGGGGAAGCAGACAGGAATGGCAATGATGACTATACTAAGGAGTCTGAAACCAAACCTAGGGAAATAGTGACCGAAAAGTCAAAAGTAGAAGAGAGACTCCAAAATTYGACTCCAAAATGATCACTCTGGCTCCAATATGGAAGAAGGATTGCAGGGGGGCAAGAATAGAAGGAAGAGCAACCAAACAGAAAGCTTTTTGCAGAGGTCTTCACAAGAAATCCCAGAGGGCTGAATAAAAGCAGTGAAAATGTAATTAAGGAGAAGATGACTTGGAAGGATCTTTAGAGGAAGAATTGACCAGACTTGAAGTCTGAGTAGATGTGGCAGGGAGAAAGAAGGTAAGCTGTGAGAACACAAAAGTTTGTGGCTTGCTTGTCCCGATAGATGAATGGTTTTCTATGTGGGATGAGCAGGAAGAGGAGAAGGTTTAGATGGGAAGATAAGGGTCCACTGTGAACTAAGATGATTGTGGGGCCAATCATGACTGGACTTGTAGAAACAACAGCAGGCAAAGCTTATTTTATCCAAGGTGAGAAATAGAGTCTCTTGTCCTGCTAGGAGAGAATGTCACTCTAGGAACTAGGAAGCACCAGGAGAAATGAGCATGCTGGGCAGCTATGGAAGGCTGAAGGGGCGAGGTCCGGGGCAGTAGTGAGCCCTCGTTACCTGCCCCTTGTCTCACTTCTCCACAGTCCTTTCTTCTTCAATCTCACGGTGAAGTCGGGGTCCCAGCACCYWCCTCTTTCCTAGGTACCTACACCACTTCCCAGTAGCAAGGTCCAGATCCATCAGAATCATTTGGGAACTTTTGAAACTACAGCTACCTGGTGTCCACTCCCAGATTTTCTGATGTTGTTGGTCTGGGCCACTGTGGTGTTTCCAAAGTACAGCCAGTTTTGAGAACCACAGCTGTGGACAAAGAGCTTCCCTAACTTTAGTGTGCATCCAAAACCTGGGGGGTCTTGTGACCATGCAGAGTCTGACCCAATAGGTTGGAGTGGCGACCTGAAAATATGAAGTTATGACAAACACAATAGAGTATGGCACTGGTGCTACTGGGTCACCCTTTGAAGAGCAAGGGTATAGCAGCGTGCTTTTCAACTGGGCTGCACATTAGAATCCCCAGACCATTGCTGAGATCAATGAAACAAAAGTATCTGGAGGAGGGACTCAGGCTAAAGGCATTTTTAGAGACACTCCAGTGATTCTAAGTTGGAGATGTTTTGAGAGGTATTGATGTAACTTCTAGAAGAGTAAATACTAAGGATACAGCTAGATGGAGCCTGAATTCCATCATCGTGAGGACTACTGGCTTATCTCCTCYTTTATTCTTCTCTTGGACACATGGCCAAGAGCAAATGTTCCAAAAGAAGTCAACCACACAATCCGCTCATGGCACTGTGAGCCCTGCCTCCTCTGCCCCTTGTCCCACTTCTCCATAATCCTTTCTTCTCTAGTCACACTGTGAAGTCAGGGTCCCAGCACCCACCTCTTTCCTAGGTACCTTCACCACTTCCCAGTAACATTTATCAAGTGCCTTCTACATACYAGCACCCGTTCTAAGGACTTTGTGTATTTGAATTAAATCAGTCTTCCCAACTGCCTACGAGGTGGGTGCTCTTATATTTATTGTACTGGTAAAGACACAGGGTCAGACTGGGTGACCGCTGGCACCTGTTACCACAACACTGTACTACTGCTCAAAAAAATGTGTATCGCCTCCAGAGCTGGACCCTGGGGTCTTCACTTTTGCCGACTCTTCCAGACATCACTACCTTGGCTCAAACTCCCCTAGGTTCTAATTCCCTCCCTCCGCCATTTTCTTCATTGGTGACCCATTGCTTATCTTGAGCCAAGTATTAACATCTCTGGGCAGCTGTACTGGACACTCAGGTAAACACCCCCCTTAGTATACTTCCTGGATCCCATACAGGCTTCTGCATCAGCCCCAGCAAATTTCAAGTTCTTGTTTAGAACTCATTGGCTGCCACTGTGAGCCAAATGTCCCTGTTCATCCTAGAAGCTAGCCTAAGTACATGGCACACTCAATAAACTTATTCGATAGATATTTGCTGGAGAGAAGATACCAGAAGCACATGTGCCACCTCATAGGCAAAACGTGACGCAGCCCCTTACAATCTGGGTCTTCTCTTTACCCTTGGTTTTCCTGCCATTTCTAGGAACATTATCCTTTCCAGGTCACACCCAGGTCTGAGCAGAGAATTGCCATCCATTATTGACAAATGTTGATATTCTTCTATTTAAAAAATAGCTTTTTTGGGGGGGGGGGCTGGGGTTGTGGCTCAGAGGTAGAGCACATGCCTGGCATGCATGAGGCACTGGGTTCGAACCTCAGCACCACATAAAGTAAAATAAAGACATTGTATCCACCTATAACTAAAAAATAAATATTAAAAAAAATTAGGAAATAGCTTTTTTCTTTCATGACACCACTTAATTAAAATAAAATGGAAAAAAAAGGACAATCCAGTAATGATGTGGAGAGTCAGTAGAGCACAGAGTACCCACAAGAACCCAGAGGTGATGGTGCTATGTCTGGGGTGCAGACCTTCTGTGGCCCTCATGGATCTTGCAGTCTTCCTACGGTTGGCGGACTCCCTGCCCTTTCCCTCAAGCTTCATTGAAAGATTTCATTTTTGCACACTGTCACTTAAAGGGCTTTATGACTCCAGGTCAGTCACCTCTTCCCATGCAAAATACTTTGGACCACAACAAATCAAGGCCTTTTGGCCTCAAGGTCTCAGAGYATCATCTATTTCCTGACTCTACTACCCATGAGAAATTGGTGTGGATAGCTTTCGTATGTTTTTTTTTTTTTCCTCTAGAAGTCGTTTCTTTGGTCTCTTCCTCCCTCCTGCTCATAGTGTTAAGATACAGCTGAGAGCCGGCTGTCACTGGGCTCCTTCCTGCTGCTGTCCATGTCACAGCCCTTGAGTACAGGATCCTGGAGCTGACTGAGATCTCTGTACATAACTGAAAACACAGAGAAGACTCTCAGGGGAACTCGGAGTCAACGTCTGAACCAGAACAAGTGGAAGTCTCTAACTTCTCGCTCATCAGAAACTGCTCACGGCTCAGCGGTTCCTTCTTAAAGGGCCTGAGAACTGGGGGGATGTAGGAATGGGGGTGTTCCCCACAGCCGCTGAGCTCAGAGCGGGAAGAAGTGGGTAGACTCTTCCTTACCATTACACAAAGCATCATGGGTCCTCGGATGATCCACCAGATTTTCTTATTTCCATTTGTTGCCCAGCATCTAAGGGCAAAGAACAGGCRGGAGAAGATGAAAATGAGACAAGGCTGTGTGTCCAGAGGCGGCGCCCCTTCAAGCATTGTCCCAAGAGATGGGACAAGGGGAGAAGAGGATCAAAATCCTTTGTATTAGCACTGGTACTATTGATGGTTCTTATCATGAAATTGCTCTTTCATGTTAACGGCCTAGCACATGGGTTCTTCCAGGTTTCTCCATGTTCATACAGACATAAATCCTTAATTAGAGGTTTCTCATTACTTCACTAAACAGTTTATATATATATATATATATATAGGCATATGCATATGGAATATATATATGTAAAATATACATAAGGCATTATTCACTTATGGGGCATATATATGGCACATATATATATGTATATGGGATGATATATGGTATATGTAGACATGTATTCAAATATACATATGTACAGATATGTATGTGGTTTGGGTGGTGATTATTTGGAGGAAAAAATGGAATCACATCATAAACGTTGTTTAGCAAGAGGTTTAAAATATCCATTGAGATTTAGTCCCTAAAAGTCAAAAGATAATACTTAATTTGTTTTTTGTGTTGTATGTCATAATATTGTTTGTGTGTTGTCATAATATTCCACAAAGTAAGTTTGCTACAATTTGTTCAATGATTCTCATTCTAATGGGCATTCGTGAATTTTTTTTTTTGTTTCTGCTTTATTTTTTTCTTTCTTTCTAGGAAYAAGGCCGTAATACCTATTGCTGGGCTATGTCTTTACATACCCAGCATCACAACTAACCTGCTCAGCATCTTTGTGGTAATTTGCCTGTGTAACTAAATGAATGARCTATTGGCTACAAGACCTTTGTTTTACGTTATCTACATTCCTCAGTATGTTCTACATGGACAAATTGGGAAGAGTTGGATATTGTCTTTGGGAAAAATGATGCAACTCCCTATATTGGGGCATATCTGGGAATTATTAATTCAGGACAGATTAAAACCAAAGTAAATTTCTTACCCCGTGTTCTCCAGGTGTGCACGGGCGAAACCCCAGGGCACCACAAACAGCACAGGGAAGGCTGTGGAGAAAACACAGATAAATAGGGTTAGGAGCCGGTTGGCCAAACCTGCTTGGCTCCCACCCCCGTCTGATGGGCCCCAGAACAGCTGGTTAAAACTCAAAAACCCTACCTGGAATCATGGACAGGGAAAATTGGAGTGGCACAGGCCCATGCATTAATTTATAACAAGAAACCAGATCCCAGAGGAGAAGGGATTTGCCACCTGTCACAAAACAGTTTAGAATAAATCCAAGGACATTAATCAAAATCTCCTGAGTCGTGGGTCCAGGTTACTTCCTATGAATCCTGCAGCATCAAATTCTCCAAAGTTTTGTGAAGGTATGGGTTCCACATCTGAATACTCATGGTCTTTGAAATTAAAAATATATATATACATATATGTATATGTACAAATACACACATATACGTATTGTATATACATATATTTTAGTTGCAGATGGACACAATACCTATATTTTATTTGTTTATTTTTGTGTGGTGCAGGGATCAAACCCAGTGCCTCACACATGCTAGGCAAGCGCTCTACTACTGAGCCACAACCACAGCCCTCTTGGTCATATTTTTAAAATTAAAACAAAACACAAAATGCATAGACCAAATATTTGTGTCCTTCCAAAATTCATATGTTGAATCCTTCCTGTCAATTGACCATATTTGGAGTTAGGGTCTTTGGAGGTCAACAGGTTTAAATGAGGTTGTGAGAGTGGGGTCCTCATAGCAGATTAGTGTCCTTATAAAAAGAGACTATAGAGTTTGTTATCTCTCTCTCTCTCTCTCTCTCTCTCCCATGTGAGGATACATCAGGAGCCAGCAGTCTGCAAGTCAGAAAGACAGCCCTCACCAGAACCCAATTGCTATGGGTGAGATCTGGCATATTCCCCAAAGGCTCCTGGATTGAAGCTTTGATTCTCCAGGGCAGCACTGTTCAGAGGTGTGGCTCTGGGGGAGTGAGTGGATCATGAAGGCTCTCTCCTCATCAATGGATTAACCCATGAGTGGATTAAATATTTGGTGGCATAATAGGGTGGTAGTAGAAAGTGCAGGCRGTGGGGTCTAGTTGGAGGAGGTAGGTCACTGGGGATGTCCCTGGAAAGACATTTCTCTTCCCCTACCCCTTCTTCACACTCTCTCATTTTTTCCTGGCTACCTGAGCTTAGCAGTTTTCCTCCACCACACCTTCCACCATGATGTTCTGTCTCATCCCAGGCCAAGAGCAATGGGGCCAGCCAACCATGAACTGAAGTCTCTGAAACTGTGAACCAAAATAAATCCTTCTTCCTTTCAGTTGTTTTTCTCAAGTATTTGGTCACAGGGACAGAAAGCCAGCAGACTGACCATGCTGGGCTCCCCAACCTCCAGAACCAGGAGAAATCAACGACTGTGGTTTAAGCCACACGGGTATTTTGTTATGGCATCAGAAACAGAGTAATGCAGTTGAGAACGGCATAGGAGGAATGTTAATTGTATCATGCCACCAAAGACCTTTCAAATTTTTTAATGTGTTCATTAGCATACAGGTCCACACACCCCCTTATTTTCATAACCTCTTATCATTGAGAAACCATCTTCCAGTTGGTTTTCTAACTGCAACAAAAGTCTCTATCGGGATCCAGTGTTCTAGTTGGTCCTCGGGAAAAGAGGCTGGAGGTCACGTTACTCACCCCAACCCACCACCAGGTATCTGGGCCACAGCCGCCTTTCAGGAAGCACCGTGGGCTCCAACAGGGCATGGAGGTAAAGACCTTCGACCAGCAGCCATAAGTGGTTGGCACCCACGCAGTAGTGCAGGAAAACCTGGACGGAGCGGCAGGAGGTGGACATCTGCAGAGGGCAGATGAGAGTGAGTGCTGCATTTCCCAGCAGCTGAACCCCCAGTGAGCAGAGAAATACCTCCCTGGACACAAACCCTCTCCCCTACTCTTCTCTCTCCTGGGCCTTTGCTGATCATCTCAGGGAGACAGCAATAATATAGAATGTGAAGTCTCTAGAAAAAGTTGTTTTTTTCCAATATGACAAAGGTTTAATGAAAGAACAATTTATAAACTTTTAATCAGGTATAGGTAAACAAATAGAAAATGATACAGTACCCCAGGCAGAACTAGCTGAGATCATTATCCTCCTTAGGACTACAGGGGTAAAGCAGGGATAATAGAAAAGTCTTATTTCCTAGTCTCTATCTAGAAGAGGCTTTCTATTTATAACCAGTCCTATATGTGCATTTTTTGGTCAGATACATTTTTATTTGTTCTATTTAATTATACATGACAGTAGAGTGCATTTTGACACATCATACATAAATGGAGCATAACTTCTCACTCTTCTGGTTGTGCATGTAGAATCCCACCAGTCATGTAGTCATATACGCACATGGGGAATCATGTCAATTCATTCCACTACATTTCTTACCCCCATGCCCCCTCCCCTCCCTTCACTCTCCTCTGCCTAATCCAAAGTACCTCTATTTTTCCCTAGTCTCTCCCCACCTTATCGTAAATTAGCATCCGCATATCAGAAACAACATTCGGCCTTTGGTTTTTGGGATTGGCTTATTTTGCTATATGTGCTTTTTTATAAAGCACCTGTTTTTATCATGGATGAAGTTGTATCCTTATTTTGCAACACCTAAGCTTTTTGAGTGTTTTGAGGTGATGGTTTATGATAAATGATAGAACTAGTAAATAGAGCAGCTTATGAATATCCTTTTGTCATATTTAATAGAAAAGAAGCACTTTGCATATGGAACTTTTATTTGTTCTAATTAGTTATACATGATAGTAAAATGTATTTTGACGTATTATACATACATGGAATATAACTTCTCATTGTTCTCGTTGTACATGATGTAGAATTACATTGATCATGTAGTCATATATGCACATAGGATAATAATCAAGAATATAAGCAACAATTAATGTTAGTGAAGATGTGGGGAAAAGGCACACTCATACATTGCTGGTGGGACTGCAAATTGGTGCAACCACTATGGAAAGGCAATATGGAGACTCCTCAGAAAACTTAGAAAGGAACCACCATTTGACCAGCTATTCCACTCCTTGGTTTATACCCAAAGGACTTAAAATCAGCATACTCTAGTGACACTGCCACATTAACGTTTAAAGCAGCTTAATTCACAAAAGCTAAACTATGGAACCTACCTAGRTGCCTTTCAACAGATGAAAAGATAAAGAAAATGTGCTATATACACACAAGGGAATGTTACTCAGCCATAAGGAAGAATAAAAATTATGGCATTTGCCCATAAATGTATGGAGAATATCATGCTAATTGATATAAGCCAATCCCCCAAAATCTGATGGCTGAATGTTTTCTCTGATATGTGGATGTGAACTCACAATAAGGGGGGTCAGGGAAAAACAGAATTATTTTGGATTAAACAAAGGGGAATGAAGGGAAGGGAGGGAGATGGGAATAGAAAAGATAGTAGAAAAAGTCTCTACTACTATTGACACCAGAATAGAAAATTTGAACATAAAATTCATAATTAAGCCATAATTTAAAACCTTCCAATTCAGAAAACTCTGAATCCAAATGGCTTCACTGCTACAATCTATCAAACATTTAAGGAAGAAATATCATCAATCTTAAATGAATTCTTCCAGGGAATAGTAAAATAGGGAACATGTACCAACTTAAAAGGTCCACACAAACTTTATACCCAAACCTCATAAGAAAAGAAAATGACAGTCCAGTCTTTCTCACAAATGTCAGTGAAGACATGCCAAACAAAAACAGCAAACTGAATCCAGTAATATAGGAGGAAGTTTAATCTATCAAAACTTCATCTGGTCTATTCCAGGAATGCAAGGTTAGTTTAACAGGTTACTGCTTTATTAGCATGATAAAAAAATGATCTCCATAGATTTTCAATTTTCATAAWTTTTCAATAATTATAAAAAATTACAATTATGGATCTAATCCAAAATGAGTGAAGAAAAAGAGTGAAAATACAAAATACCAATATCAAGATTTTGCTTACAGATGAAAGTTTTTCCCACCTGAGGACACGCGGTAGCCATAGGTGATCCTGTCTGCCTCTGGATCCCTTCAACTGGCCCACTCTCGAGAGCCTGTTGTGTTTTTAAATCCCAGGCTGCTTCTCTAGCCAGAGAGCCCCACCCACCTGCCCTCTGATTCCCAAGTCTCACCCAGCTGGTGGGAGGCTGAATTTGGATGGTGGAGGAGGGAAGGGGATTACCTCTGACAGATAGGACATCCACCCACTCTCATTGTCTGGCCTCTTGGAGTAAGAGTTATAGAAGACAACGTCCTTCACCAGCACAGCCAGGGCTTTCAGGATGAATGAAGCAAACAAGTTCATGTGGATGTAGTTACGTGTACAGTGGAGCTTTCTGTGCAAAGAGGAAAACAAGTGTCACCCTCAGGAAAGAATGGCTGGGGCCAAAAGGTCCATGCCTGATCCACCTGCATATCTACCACTAAAGACAGAGGTTCCTAGTGAAGGCTCCAGAGTTGGACCACTGGGGTATGTGATCTTACTTCTCTGTGCCTCATTTTCTTTATCCATAAGGGTAACGATAGTTATCTTTATATAACATGTTCACTGTGCCAGGCCATTTTCTAAGCCATTAACTTGTGAGTGTCCTTCCTCTTTGCCGTCACTAGAAGAGTGGGCAGTCTCATTACCCTGATTTCATAAATGGTGGAAGTGGAGGAGGAAGGTTAAGTTACCTGTCTAAAGTTCCACATCATTAATTAATAGAGCTGAGATTTAAATCTAGAAACTCTGAGGCCAAAGTATGGCTGTCCAAGKCTCTACTGCCTCTGAGAATAAGAGCATTGGTCTCAGAGGCGTGGGGGAGAATTAAATCAGTTAATTCATGTAAAGTGCATCTAATAAGTGTCCAGAAAAAAATGTCAGCTAATTTCCTCTCCCTGGAGCCTCCTCTTGGCTCTTTGTCTTATAAGCAGATGTGACACAGTGCATTCTCAGTCTCTCTAGCCAAAGGGACTCTTTTCCACCACTACACCTCTGGCGTAGCACATACCCCATCCTACTTTGGTTTAGGGCAATTATTATATTAAAGGAATTAAATTAAATTATTATATTAAATTATTATATTATATTAAAGGCAGGTCCTTGTATTAATGATGTATGCATCCTCCTGCATAACCAAACAGTGGGCCGTTCAAGGGCAGGGACAGAGCCTTGCTCCTTCTGGAGTCTGAGGCAAAACAGATCCATGGTCAACCTAGACTCAGCTGGCATTACTTCCTGCAGGGCTGAACAGTTATTTTATCCTGGATTGGTTCGGGGACTTTGGGAAGGTGTAGAGGGAGGTCACAGGTAGTCAGTGGGTACAGGCTGTAGAATTGTCTCATAGCTCAAGAATTGTTCTCTCCATGGGGTAGATGGTCAGGACGCTGCTCCAAGAACCATAGAGCATTCTGGGGTTAGAGAGTCAGACSGGATTCTGACCTGGGGCTAGCAGAGCCCAGTGGGAGGTGCCCTGGAACTAGACCCACGTCATCTCCAGGGTTCCATTCCTTCTCTGGCCACTGGAGTTGAGGGCTCATTCTGCTGTGTAATATTCACTTGTGTTTCTTAACGGGCTGAGACCACTGGACAGCCTTTGAGGGCTCCCCAGTGGGTCTGTAAATATCTTACTTGGGCAGTACCTAATAATGTGATTTAGTAAAATGCATCGAGGCTTTGAATTCCGAAAGACAGTACAAGCAAAAATGCTCAGACCCTGGCTCCATTACCCACGAGCTCTGAGCTTGGACAAGTTACTTTATCTCTCCATATTTCAGTTAGCTCACTTATAAAAAGGGAGCAATATTAACACTAACCTCTTAGGATCAGAATGAATCAACTTGAATTGGGAAGAGATTTAAAGTACTTGATGCATGTGAAGTGCTGGGAGGAAACACTTAAGTAATTAATAGCTAAGTGGAATTCAAAGATGCTGGGTTAAAATCCCAGCTCTACCATCCATTTGCCTTTGAAGGAAGTTTCTGAATCTCGTCTGTAACTATAATGCCTCTGATAGAGTTGTGGTAAGAAGGAGATGGGGTAGTGATGAGTGGGATCAGGGATCTTCGACTAGGGTGAGGGCACGGMTGGCATCTAATGCAAAGGAGTCCTGGACTCATGGTCTAGCTGTGTGTCAGTCTGGTTTTATGGCCAATCACAGTTCAATGCCTCTCCCTGGGACTTAGATAACTCCTTTCTTCCCCTTCATCTGCAAAATGGGATGGATGCCCTGAAGACTCTTTCAGGTCCCTTCCAACTCTGAGGAACCGTGTTATCAGCCAGCCTCATCTTCCAGAGGCAGCCATTGAGCAAACCCYATGGTGCATGTCTGACTGTACATCTGTCCGTCTGCAGGAGTTTTACTCACCGAAGGAACAAAAGGAGGGTGAGAGCCAGGAAGAGGGAGATAAGGGAGAGGGAGTATCCCACCGTGTACATCAGCTGCAGAGTGGACAGCAAGGCGTAATTCTCCACCTGGACACAGAGGAAGAACAGATGAGGATCAAGACAGAGCYTACAACCCCCAAACCACATACCCAGGGCCACCGTGGGTCTAGGCATCGACTGAGATGTGTCCAGGCTCCCCAACATGCCTCTACACCTCTCCTTTGCTATGCTTGTTGACATCCAGGCAGGGTGGCTTAGACTGCTCTCTGTCACATCTCAGAGCCCACCGAGGGTCTCACCCCATGATGGATGCACCAAGAGTCACCATATCATAACAGAGTTGTGTCTAGGACAAGAGCATGCCTGGGAAATGAGGACAAGCTCTTTGTCCCTGGGAGTGCTATTCCTGGAGTCTCTGAGTCCTCCTCCCTAGAGGATTGGGCCAAATTTCTGTCTGGATGAATAATTTTTCATAGATGATTTTTTTGAAGTTAGCCCAATAGAACAGAGCCATGTTTTCTCTAAGTCCCAGGATAGCCTGAATGTGAACAGAGACTATTTATTAAAAATTCTGTGTTATTAAGCATGATTTTCCAATGGAGTCCCACCTTCTCCCTCAATCCTTTATGCATATTGCAGTTAAGATTAGGCTTCTCAATAACTTTCTGTGCAAACACCCACAGTAAATACTCAATATCTACCAAATTAGGTATTGAACTTCTTTGCATAATTTGTGATATGTCAGTATGTTTTATATTTATGCATGAACTGTACATACTTAAAGTCTAAAAGCTGATAAGTCTGGACAAATGAGTAAGTCTTTGATTTTATCACCACAAGAAAAATAATGAACATTCCCATAACCTCCCCCAAAAGTTTCCTCATGACCCTTTGTGATATGTCTCCCCTTGCCCCCATCCCTAGCTCATTGCTATTCACCCCCTGCCCAGGGATATACTGCTCTGCTTTCTGTCATTAGAGATCAGTTTGTRTTTTCTAAAATTTTATATAAACAGACTATTTTGACATGTTACTCTTTTGTCAGGCTTACTGCATCTGGAGTATTTATTTTGAGGTTCCTTCATGCCATACCATGTTTCAATAGTTTGTTTCTTTTTTTATTGCTGAATAGCATTTCACTGTGAAAATACCACATTTTATTTATCCTCTTACTTACTGGTGGGCGATTGGATTGTTTTCAGTTTTGGGCTTTCACAAAGTTTTTATGAACACTTCTGGGCAAGTTCTTGTGTGGACATAGGTTTTTATTTCTCTCAGATAAATACCTAGAAATAGAATAGTGGAAGAGTATGGTGTATAGTTTAACTTCTTAAGAAATGGCCACACTGTTTTCTAAAGAAGTGGTAGCAATTTACATTTCCATCAGCCCCATGTGAGCTCTTTTGCATTCCCCCAATACATAGTACAATAAGTCTTAAATTTTAACCATTCTAGTGGTATTCAGTAGTACCTCACCATGGCTATACTTTGTACTTTCCTAAAATATATGCTCTTGAGAGTCTTTTCATTGCTTAATTGCCATCTGTATATTTTACTGGGTAAGATATTTATTCAAATACTTGTCCATCTTTTATTTTTTATTTTTTTTAATATTTATTTTTTTAGTTTTTTGGCAGACAGAACATCTTTGTTTGTATGTGGTGCTGAGGATCGAACCCAGGCCGCACGCACGCCAGGCGAGAGTGCTACTGCTTGAGCCACATCCCCAGCCCTTGTCCATCTTTTAAATCGAGCTGTTTCTCTTCTTATTTTTGAGTTGCAAATGTCCCTTTTATAATCTAGGTTCAAATCTCTTGTCTTGCAAGTATCTTCTTTCATTCTGTTTATTTCCTTTTAATTTTCTTAGTAGCATGAGTTAGTGTTAGGTCTTCCTACTTTGTTCTGTTTCAAAGTCATATTGACTCTTACGGATTCGTATAAATTCTAGAATCATCTTGTCCATTTTCACCAAAATTACTCTTGGATTTTTATTGGAATTGCATTGAAACCATGGGTCAGTTTAGAAAGATTGACATCCTAATTATTAAGTCCATGAACATGGTCTATCCCCCACTTTAGTTAAGTTTAAAAAATTTTGCTCAGCGAAATCTTTTGTCAAATATATCCTTATTTGTTTCATATTTTAATGCTGTTTTTATTTTCTTAATTTCAATTCTCAATCACTCGTTGCTAGTATACGAAAATACAGTTGATTTTTGTATTTGTTCTGTATTTCAAAAACTTGTTAAATTCACTTATTAGGATTAATAGTGTTCAGTGTAGATTCCTTGGGATGATCATGCTATATTTGAATAACAACATTTTTACTTCTTCTTTTCCAAATTCTATGCCCTTTGCCTCCTTCCTTGCCTGTTTTTCTCTCTCTAGGATCTCCAGTACAATGTTGAATAGAAGTAGAAAAAAATGGAATAACTTCCTGGTGAAAGATATTAGGGGAAAATGGTCTCTCACCAATTAATATGATGTGAGYTACAAGTGCCTTTTATATTGATTTTCTGTGGCTGCTGTAACATAGTACCACAAAATTGATGACTTAAAATAATATGACTTAATTCCCATAGTTTGGGTCAGAAATCCAAAATCAGCTTCAGCTCATAACAAAGTGTTGGAGGCTGCAGAAAATAATCAATTTACTGGCAATTTCTATGTCTGTATTTATTTTCTCTGGCTCTCTTTCCCATCTTCACTGTCCACAGTGTAGCATCTTCTCTCCTCTCTGACAGCACTTTCATCCTTAATCCTACTATCCCCCTCTCCTTAGGACACTCCTGTTTACCATGGGCCCACCAGGATCACCCGGGATAATCTTCCCTATCTCAAGACCCTTAACGTAATCACATCTGAAAAGACCTTTTGATATATAAAGTAAATGCTCACAGGTTCTGGAGATTAGGACAATGGACATCTTTAGGAGGCCCTTATTCAACCTACCATGGCTTTATCCAATTGAGAAATCTCCATTCTCTCCCTTAAAGACTGAGAGTTTTTATCAAGAATGGAGGTTAAGTTTTGTCAAGTGCTTTCTGTTTGTCTATTGGAAAGAATCACCTAGATCATCTTTTTTAGTCTGTTAATATGATGAATTTCATTGATTAATCTTCAGATGAATCAGACCAACAAGTTGCCTTCTTGGTTTAAGTGCACTTGGTCATGATATATGAATTTCCTGTTGTTGGACTCAGTTTGCTAAAATTTTTCCAGGAATTTTTGTGTATACTCCTGAGGGATACCAGTCAGTAATTTTATTTTCTTGTAAATTTTTTGTCTGATCTAATGATGGCCTCATAAACTGAGATGGGTTGTATTTCTTCTTTTTCAATTTTTTGGATAGTTTGTGTGGAACTAGTATCATTATTTTGTCCTCTATTTCTTCCTTAAATTTTATCAGTTTGGACTTCAAGAGCTTTAAGAATCTGTTACTAGGTATTAAGATTTAGGATTGGGGCTGGGGATGTGGCTCAAGTGGTAGCGCGCTCRCCTGGTATGCGCGGGGCACTGGGTTCKATCCTCAGCACCACATAAAAATTAAAAAAATAAAGATGTTGTGTCCACCGAAAACTAAAAAATAAATATTAAAAAATTCTCTATTTCTCTCTCTCTCTCTTAAAAAAAAGATTTAGGATTGATATGTTCTCATGGTAAATTTGTCTACTCATTATTATACAGCATCTCTCTATAATCCTAATAATATACATTACTCTAAGAGCTCTTTTGTCTAATATCAAAATAGCCAACCTTCCTTTCTTCTGATTAGTATTTTTTTTTTTTGGATGGGATACCTCTTTTTCATCTTTTAAATTCTAACTGTAGCCTGTAAAGTAAATGTTTTCTGGATAGCATGTACTTGGGTTTTGCTTTGATCTTTCTTCTTAATACAACCTGATTTAGAACATTTATATTAAAGGTGGTTCTTTATCTGGTTGAGTTTAAAACTATCGGGTTTCTCTCAGTCCCATTTTTTAAGTTATTTTTTTCTCCTTTTTCTGGCTTTTTTTTGTATTAGTTTTTAATTCTATATTTTCTTTTTTGTGACATTAGTTAGTGACTTTTTATTCTTTGTGATATGTGTGTGTGTCTTTTATATATATATTTTTAATCCAGTAATCCCATTTCTAGGAATCTTCCAAAGGATATACTGCCACAAATATGGAACAATGTGTACATAAAGGTTATGGCATTATTGAGAATAAAAGATTGGACATAATCCAAATCACCATAGAATAGGGCTGAGAAAACTGTCGTAGATACATGATGTGAAGTACATACAAGCAGCTGTGAATACATATTTCTATAAAATGATATACAGTGATTTCTAGGATATGTTGTTAAAAAAATAAGATAAATAGTAAGGTATGTTGTACAGGATATATATATATATATATATATATATATATATATATGGAAAAGGGGGAACAACATGTTTACTTATTTGCTTAGTTTTGCAACAAGAAACAAGTTATAATTATAAAAATGATAATAAATGATATAGAAAATAGAGAATAATAAACAAAATAATAATAGGTAATAGTAATAATAATATGATACAATGATTTAAAAAAAAGAAAGAATAAGCCAGAAAATAATCAAACTGATTGCTTATAGGGAATAGGTAAGGATAGGGTGGAGGACATAGTGTCAAGAGTCAGAGATCTTTTTTATGTAGTTTTGGCTTTCAAACCCTGCCAATATTTTATGTATTAAAAATAAAATTAATACACCAACAATGATTCTGCTAAGACAGAAATGAGGAAAACCATCCCATACCACTCACAATAGCTTTTTAAAAATATTAGGAATAAATTTAACTAAAAGATCTCTACAATGAAAACTAGAGAACACTGAAGAAAGAAATTGAAGAAGACCCCAGAAGATAGAAAGACCACCCATGTTCATGGATAGGAAGAATGAATATAGTTAAAAAAGGGCCATTCTACCAAAAGTAACATACAAATTCAATGCAATCCCTATCAAAGTACCAATGACATTCTTCACAGAACTAGAAAAACAGTCCTAAAATTCACTTGAAAGAAATAAAAGATCTGGAATAGCCAAAGCAATTCTAAGCC